ATGTAAAATCTTTGCAGACGGCACTTGTCAGAGAGTCTGCAAGCCTCAAGAAATAACCGAGTGCCCTCAGCAACTCAGAGAATTTCAAGCTTTACATTCTCATCTGCCGTATATACCCCTACCCAGCCGCCTGCCCTTCACGCGTCACCCGTCGTGGTCGCCGGGCAGAAACAACCAAGACGCGAACTTCGCAGCCCCTGAGCCAAGATGGGCCGAGGTTTTGCGGGTGCTCGCTGGGCCTGCTCAACCTGTTCATCATTGCACGGGCCCCAGTTGAGCTGAACGTCCGCAGAGACGCGGCAGTTGTGGCTTGTCCGGACCGCCACCACCGCCAGGACGACACCTAGCACACTGAATGATACCATTGCTGGGCGGGTGGGAAAAATAATACCATTGCGCTTTTCATGTTGATACTGACGACAGTAGCGGCAGTAAGACATACAAAAAGAATAGCAGCAATTGTATCCACAGAAACACCCACAATTACATCAGACCTCATGTCAACCAGAATTTCGCTGCTGGTGCTGGCCGCCTCCAGCTTGTTCATTCAGCGCTGCTGTTGGAGGGTGCCGTCCTGTCAAAATGGTGAGCAGTGACGACGACGCAGACGAAGACGCATCGCAACAACAGAAATCACAACCTCAGATGTTTCACAAGCTAAAGGTGGTAAGAGCACAAAGAATATCATCTGGGCTTGAATTGGGGAGTGCAGTTTTAATTTCAAGAAGGCCGAATGCACAAGAATGAGACCAACAGTGTGGAGCTCAAACCTGCTCAGAATTTGGATGGACTGACAACAACCACTCAATGGCGTATTCGTGTGCAGAAGAAGTTTTGTCAATTATATGTACAGTATATGTGAATGTAAAAAATGTATTAATATATACTTATATATATATATGTACAAATATGTATGTATGTATGTATGTATGTATGTATGTATGTCTATATATATATATGTATATGTTTATATTTATATTATAAATATAAATGTAAGTAAACTTACTGTAAGTATAAATATAAAAAAATATAAATATAAATATAGATAAATAGATAAATAAATTATATATATATGCATATACACTATACGTATACATACATGCCTACCTACCTAGGTACATGCATAACACACACGTTTGAGGACACCGACCGGACCCGCGAGCTGAAGCTGGCGGCCGAAAGCGAAGCCTGCGGGCCCGGGGCCAAAGCGGGGTAGCGGGAAATTGGAAGACGATGGGATAACTGGAAATGTTGTTCCTAGGGTTCCTGCTATCAGTTTCGTATGATATACCTAAAAAACCCGATTCAGTGATTTCAGCTATCGTTTATTAGAGCCGTTGTATCAGTCTGGAAGGTGCCGAAACTAGCCTTATGAAACGGGAGCCAGGCGCAATGCTGGAAAGTGGTGCAGGGAGGGGTTCTGGGACCAGTTGTGTTTTGCTGGAGCGCTTCAGGGCGTTGTGTGGGCGCATGACGGGTCCGGTGTTATGATGTGTTATGGAGACTTGCAGTAGTGGAGGATCCCGATGTAGAGGCTTGTGGGATGCTTGATCATTGCAACGATTTCTGAGCCCCCTTGGTGCCGGCACCTACCCATCGACGGCTCAGAGGCCTTGAATCTGAAGAGAAAGAAAACCCTTGATGTGATGCCGCGGGCCGTGCCAGGTTCAGTGTGGAGATCAGCAATGCCACTGGCCTCAAAGTTCAGGGTGAATGTCATGGGGGGTCTGGCCTACGGGGTTCTGGTTGTCGGATGACAGACAACTACACATGTTGCGGGGCGGGATCGCGACGTTTGAGGCAGTTTAGAGGCGCGGCCTTCTAGGGAAAGCGTGATCGAACGGGGGAACTCCTGAGTTTTCGCCGCAAGCCTGATGCCAACAGCAACCACATCGGGTTCAAGGATCAGCTTCAGAACATTGAGCTCCACAGCGCCGCAGAGGGCATTTTTGCTCAGGCCGTTCGACCTGGGTGCACTGCCATCACCATCGAGGGCCCGCAAGGTGTCAAAGGTGCCACAGGGTGGTGGGCGGACATCTGTGGCTGAGCACTGGGACTGCGAGTTACTTTGCAGGCACGAATGCTCTGATATGCGACCTGCAAGCCTGGATCGCACACAACCTGTGGCAAAAACAGTGGCACCATGTGGCACACTTCAGAGCACGCATCACGTCGCGAGGTGTCATCGCATCCGTGACCAATGTCATGGCCTCCGAAGGCATCTTGATCAGGCGAGGCATTCCTCCCTGTTTGCTGGGAAACCCTTCGCTTTTTCGATCTGTGGTAGAGTTCTTATGCACCCTGTCTCAGGGCCATGGCTATGATGCCGATTCTTTTGTATGTAAAAGGCTTGCGTGCCCCAGCCGGGCAGCTTTTTGTATACACTTCCACGCGCTTCTGCGCTGCGCCAAAATGTTTGTCGACACTCATCTTGCCTGAAGCTTGCCTGAACAAGACGGATGCTTTGCGTGCAGGGACATGTCTGGACACCGAGATTCCGAAGCTACAGGCACTTCGGTGTGATCATGCGCATGAGGTTCCCAATTGGATCATGGCTGCGATTGTTGCTGGTTGTCAGTGAGGCTGTTGATAGCTGTTTATCACATTGATGGTGAGACCGATGGGGCTGCCTTTAGTTGCAACTCGTGTAAAGACACATGACAACCACGAATATCGAACGGCAATGGAATTCTTGATGAAAGAGGCCTGGTCTTTCTGCCTTACTATCGTCATCTTCCTCATCAGCTCCACATCATCGACCCCATCATCCACATGATCGCTTTTGTCACCATCAATCGTGACCATCAGCATCATCATCAGCACCAGCACCAGCACCAGCACCAGCAACAGCACCAGCACCAGCGTCGTCAACATCGTCATCATCCGACTAAGGCCGTGTAGTCTTAGCAGCTAAACTGTCTTCTACGCTCGGTTGCTCCATTGTTGCGGCTGCTGCCACGAGTCTTCCTGTATCCCGCATGCCGCCATTGGATGTGTGATTGAGTTAATGTAATTGTAGTTTCTTGTTCTTGTTTGTTCATGCTGGCCTGCTGGTGGCCATGGTGCGGCGGTCGTGGTGGTGACGGTGGTGCTGATGGTGGTGATGGGCGTGATGGGGGTGGTGATGGGCGTGATGGGGGTGTTGTGGTGATGGTGGCGGTGGCGGCGGCGGCGGTGGTGATGGTTTGCGAAGCATCACTGTTATGACTCTGACAGCTTCTTCTTTTTCAGGCACGCTGACCTTGACGTTCTATGTTACAAAGGACGGCGAGGAGGCCTGCCGGTGCCGGAAGCGGTATCTTGCTTCGGGCTTTCGAGCGGTGCTGAAGGTGGAAGATGACGATCTGAAAAGCTTGGGCCGTTCCATCATGGCGGCCTGCAACGATCCACAGTTCCACCAGCACCTCAGCTGCACAGCGACATGTTGCCGCACAGTTGTTGCCCATGCTCTGCTCCACTAGGAAGCTGGAGAAGAAGATGGTGTCCGAACTAGAGGCACCTGGGGCCGAGTCTGTTGCGACCAAGAAAAACTCTACTATCTGCATTTGGGGGTTTGTATACATATCTATCTAACTACTTATCAATTTTTTTATCTATCTATCTATCTATCTATCTATCTATCTATCTATCTCTCTCTATTTGCCTATCTATCTATGCATTCTCTATCTACCTGTCTATCTATTTAACCATTTATCCATGTATTTGTCTATCTATCTTGTTTATCTATCTAACTAACTACTTACCTATCTATTTATCTACCTGTCTGTCTATCTATTTACCTATTTACTTATCTATTCATTTATTATTTATCTATCTATCTAGTTATCTATTTAACTATCCATCTATCTATCTATCTATCCATCCATCCATCCATCTATCTATCTATCCATCCATCCATCCATCCATCTAGCTATTTGTCTTTCGGTCCATTTATCTATCTGCTTGTCTATTTTCTATCTATCTATTTATCTATTTATCTATGTATGTATGTATGTATGTATGTATGTATGTATGTATGTATACACATATATACGCATATGTATACCGGTGTCCCACTCCGCAGGAGCTGAAGATTCAACTTGCAAGAGCTCAAGAAGCCCTCGAGACGGCCATCAAGGACAAGGAGACGGCCGAGAAGATCATGGAGGACTTCTGCGATGGCAGGGCTTTGCCGTTGGTTCCTGTAGACCCTCGTGGCTTTAGGAATCCATCTGTGGTTAGACAGTGGTTAGATATGTGTGAACGAAGGTTGGGAGAGAGAGGAGCGGGACCGTGTGAGAAATCTTTGGTAGAACCACATCTGACGTAGTCGAACTTTGCGTTTGTGCCGGGGTTTGCAATCCCTTTGACTGGGCCGTCGGGCTGCTTTAGCTTTGTTTCTTGTTCTGGAGTTGACTGATCGCACCGCCGCAGAAATATTACCTCCGGGTCACGGGGAAGAACGGCGAGACGCCAGAGTCACACCAAAGCTCCGCAACCAGCGCCTGAGCTACGTTCCGCTGGGCACTGTCCCATGGGGCAGTGTGAGCAGCTCCAAAGCTGGATGATCCTTGCCGGGAGACGGTTCCAGGAGCCATGAACCTTTCAAGGTGGGACGAATGAATTTATATAGGCTTCAGGGGGCTTGTGGCCTGCGACTGCTTCAGCCCCGACCCGGCACGGACTTGTAAAGTCAAACGGACAACGAAGGATGTTTTCGTCTCACCTCGCATCCTCACCTCGCTTCATGATGAACATGCTACAGTTTCTATGAGCCAAAGTCGTTCATATCAGGAAAAAGGCATCTGCGCGGATTTCAGAGGTCTGACTTGTCGCTTGCACCCGCTGATTTGCACTTGCTCCCTTTTGCTCGCCCTGATGCTTCTTGCTCAAGATGGACGCTTCAGTGTCGAAGACATGAGAGGGATGGCTTGCAAAGCGAATTGGAGACTACTTGGCTCCAAAGTCCTTGAAACATCCTGACACGCCAGGTTATTGCAGCTTGTTCTCGCAGCCTCGCAATGCAAGGAGATGCTTTCCGTCACCTCCGTGAGCTCGTAGATGCGGCGGAGGACAACGGGAGTCTCCAGTGGTCATTGAATGCCGCTGCAGTCCTGAATGGGTCAACAAAAAGCTTAGCAGAGTTGGGAGACGAGACCTTGCGCCGAAATCTGGAGGAAAGGCTGAGGCCAATGGGCCCGGGCAGTTGGGCAGAGGCCTTTGCCTACGAGGCCAGCCGTCAAGAGCCCCTTCAAGAGCTCTACGAGCTCTTGGGTCTTGATCCCAAGCTACGACACCATCGCCGGCCTTTGACCGTGGCGGAGAAGGCCCAGGTGGTGCGATCCCTTGCAGGGGAGCTCCAGAAGCAGCTGGCAGACCAACGGCTCTTCATCTCCGCGCCGCCCCGGCCTTGGTGCTCGGCCCTGCTGCGAGAGATGGCCTCAGCGATCCTGGCCCTTTGCTACGAGAGCTTCCACGGACGAAGGTTTGACGGATACCCTCCAGTCACTTCAAGGGACCTCCCAATCCCTCTGCAAACGGATGTTAAGCTCTCGGCACTTCTCCGCAGCGGGTCAGCGCGTGAAATCACCGATCGCCTCATTTGGTTGAGTTTGAAAGAGCCTGGTTACGGGGACCAAATCACTTTAACCTTGGCCGTCGTGCTGCCACGTCTAAACGATATGCGCCTGCTTGTGTTCAGCAGAGTTCTATGCAAGATCTGCAAGGGCGAGGAGAACGCGACGTCCCCCGTGGCCAAAATCGACTTGTCCTTTGAGGAGCACAGCTCTCTCGCATGCACTGTCGTAAGAGCTGTCCTCAGGAGTGACTTGATAAGCCTGCCTTTCGAGCTTGACGAGCAGATTTATGATGTCCGTTGCTCTCCCTTCCTGCCCGAGCCTGAGCGCAACGGGCTCCTGGAACTTATGGCCGCCACTGCTGCTCCTACGGCAAGGACGCCGTCTCCCAGAGGGTCGCCCAAGGGGTCGCAGCGGCGAGGCTTGGTTCGAATGCCGGTGGTGGAGGAGAGCCACGACTATCCGCTGGCCCTGCAGCCTCGAGTGGCCCCTGCCTCGGCCTCTGCAGTTGGACGAGGCGCGCAGCTGCGGGCCCTCCGCCGCCCAGCGGCGCGGATGCAGGAACCTGTGCCACAAGCAAGGCCAAGACGTCCGAGGATGAACGACTCCTTTGGCTTCGGCTACGATCCATCAGCCCCCAGCGCGGAGAGGCTCGAAAGGATGGAGAGGTTAGAAAGGTTCGAGAGGCCAGAACGGGAGTACGACGAGCCGGTTCTGCGAAGGGCGTGGAGACCGCCCTCTTTGCCACCATCGCCACGCCAAGGAAGTGTGCGAGATGGAAGGGAGCGGCCGTTTCCGCATGACGCCCAGCTGGGCCCAAGACGAACTTTAGATCCTGGAGGGCCTGGAGGCCCAGGCGGGTTCGGAGGGTCAGGGTATGGAGGGCCGGGACTCGGGATCGGTGCAAGCATGCCGGCAATGGGAGCAAAGCAGGGGCTGGGAGGAATAGCAGCAATGGGAGGCATCGGTGGTGGGATGGGAGGGATGGGAGGTGCCTATGGGGGAGGGGACAGCCCAACACTGAAGCGTGCCGCTGCTGTTTTCCAGCGCCTCGCCGAAGCTGCAGAGCAGCAGAACTCCCCACGCCTGCGCGTGCCAAACTGGACGATCTAGGCCCAGGCGTCCTTCCACAGAAACCTTCATGAGGAGGCGTTTGCATCACTCACCAAGAGTTTCGGATTGCCTATTGATGCGTCTCACCCTTCCGGACGCTTTCCTTGAGAGCTGCTCCCAACTGTGTCGCTACATTTGAGGCTACAGCTCTTCACATAAGCACTGCGTGGGTGGACAGTTGGAGGAAGGCCCGCTCCGGCTATGTATGCCTTTTGTAAATGCCCGTGCCGTCAATGCAACACGAGAGCCCCGCCGCTCTTGAGAAAAGCCTCCCTCAACCCCTCTTGGGACCTCGGGCAGGTTGCGCTGTCTGCGGCTGTCAAGTGTGCCTTGTTTCAGAGATCGGCCCTTGGCTGCTGAAGGGCTGAACGGTGCTGAAGGGTTCATGTCAGCCTCCCGCCTTCTTGCACAAGCGCCCATCGTCTTCGTCGGCTCAAGGAGCAGGAAAACTGTGGGGACATGGCCTGGCACAAGACGCCAACTCTCCGAGTTGCAGGTCATCTATCTGACCAGACTGAAGAAGCGATCCTGAACTCTGACATAGCAAGTCCAGCTAAGATAAGTTCGAGTCTGCACTAGGCCAGGAGGCCCCGACCCGCTGACACCCCAGAACCCTCATAGAACTCCTAAGCCCTCAACCCCAAAACCCCAAAGGGCAGGAAAGCAGAAAAGGTCTCAGGGGATGGATCCAAGCGGCCAGCGGCTGCTCAGATGAGGAGGGACTTGGATGGCGACTCGAGGCCCCGCCCGGTCCGTTCCAGTCCTACCACTCGCAGCTTTGCTCGTATCCCTCGTACCGGTAGTGGTAGTGTTAGTAGTGGTCGTCGTGGTCGTCGTTGTGCTAGTTCGTAGGAGTAGTCGTGGTAGTAGCACTGGCATTGGCAGGGGCAGGGGCAGTGGTAGTGGCAGCAGAAGCAGCAGCAGAAGGAGGAGAAGCAGGAGACGTGGTGGTGGTGGTGCTGGTGGTGCTGGTGGTGCTGGTTGTGGTGGTGGTGGTGGTGCTGGTGGTGGTGCTGGTGGTGGTGCTGGTGGCGGTGGTAGTGGTGGTCGTCTTCGTAGTAAAGTTCTGTTGCTGCTGCTCCTGCTGCTGCTGATGCTGCAACTACTTCTACTAGTTACCAGTGCTACTGCTACTACTGCTGTTGCTGCTGCTGCTACTGCTCGTACTGCTACTGCTACAGCACGCAGTGCAGCTTGCGCGCACAACGCGTGCCATTTATCACTGCGCGGATGTACTCTGCTGCGGGCTGAAGTGAAGTGCTACTGAGTTACTGCTACGGCTACTGCTCCTGCCACTGCGGTCACCACCACCAACTACTACAACCCCGCCACAAGCACCACCGCCGAAACCACGACGACGACGACGACGACGACGACGACGACTAGTACTGCTACTTGTGCCACTGTACTACTCCTAGTGCGACCGACTATGACCACGACTATACTCCTACTACTCATCCTGCTGCGGCTGCTTGCCCTAAAATCTTCGGCAACTGTCGGTGTCACCGACTGAGGGCTATTCTCAATGCCCCCGACTGCGCAGGCATGAAGATCCGGCCGAGAGGGTCAGCTCGGAGGCGGCCGATACCAAACACTCAGCACAGGCATGGTTGAAGGATGTCAGGAGGGTCAAGCTGGGTAGTACACTGGGTAGCGAAGGTCCTCACTTAGGTTCAACTTCCTCTGCAGGCATATTTCAGGCACCAACCCCGAGGGCCTAGAAGCTCTGTTGCACATCGGCAATTTCAGGCAGGTCAGGGCATGTCTGTGCAATAGACACAAAGACGTTCCTGTCCTCCTTAAGTCCTTCTGCACCTTTCCCATGTTTCTGCGGTTGAGTTTGAGGTGTTCCATATACACGGCCACACACAGATGCCGCAACACTGCTAAGACCAACCTGGCCCTTGCCCACCGGAAACTTTAATCCCAATTTTGAACGTGCGTGTTGGGTCGATTTTCTGCTAGATACTGTTGCTAGCCCAAGACATGCTGCAACCAAAGGAAGCTAGCAAGACACCCCGCCTCTTGAAGGGCAACATGAATCACGACGTCCCCAAGTTATAGAAGTCAAGAGCTTCAAGAAGGCATTGCTTGTTCATAGCTGTGGCATCATATGCTCCCAAGCCCTAGGTTGATCAGAATTTTAAAACCGATGATTCCATCGAATGCCTACAGACAGCGGCCGCTATTGATGCTCATGGATGAAGTCCCTCCAGGAGCCCTCCGCCAGCAGAACAACTGGAGGTCGTCAGAATTCGAGCTCGAGGGTCATGGCCGCTTCGCTTGCAACCCATGAAGCTCAGGCCTCCAGCCAAGATAACCAATGATACACCCAGAGTGGAATCTTTTACTGTAATAATGATAGTAGATCATCGCCCAAAATCCTATATTAATTATTCCTATATTATGCTTGCCAAGTCTTTTCTCGGAGCTTCTGGCTTTTTTCGTTTTTGACCGCTCAAGCCGTTTGCTGGAAGCCCAACTCATGGGGCCCAAAAGCCCCAACCCAAAGCCCACCCAGGCCAGCAAGACAAAGTTCTCGATGTCAGGCCCTCGGCGTGGCAAGTTCCGAAGCGCGAGCCGTCTCCGGTAAGAGTTTAGTTGCTTGCGCTCACCTGCTTATGATCGGGATCCCCGTCAGCGGCATAATGAAATGATAGAAACCACGCGACGACGAAAAGACATGCACGGGTTTTCGGCGAGTGTCAGCGCTGCAAGGCATTCGTTGATGCGTGTAAAAACGTGGCGGGTCAAGCGCACGAAACCGTGTCAAACCTTCCTGTGCTCTTTTCAAAGGTTGTAGTGAAGTCAGTACATGTTTACAAACATCTGAGTATTGCAAGACCGGAACAGGCTGACATCATTGCGCGCACTGAGCAAAATCGAGCGGGCGACGATGTAGATGACGGACGACAATCCTACTTCAATTTAATTAAACCATGACAATGAACTCACCGCGGTGAAAGCGATGATAGTGCATGATTCCATATTTCTTGCAACAACCACACTGATTAGGTACATAGCGTGACTCTCTTGCAAACGGTTAGTTCGAAAACATGCAGCCCTGAACGTTGAAGTCTTAAACCCACTATTCATTAGGCGAAGCACTCTAAAATGGTTCGTCCGAAACTGCGAAGGTGTTGGGTTAGTTTTGTGGCTGGGCTTGCGGCGCAGCTGTTGGAACTTGCGACATGACATTTTGCCCGCATTCTGTTTGTTCGTTCTGTTTCTGGACAACAGATTCACTGGAAAGGCGGCTGGTATCATGCAAGGTTTAATATATGCTCAGGGGGGAGGCCTCTCGGTCGCACCGACAGCACGGACGCCTTCACCGTTCGTCCATGGATGCTCGGGTGAAGCGGATGCACCCGTCGCACAAAAGTCATCATTGCGCTGGCAGCAACGGATGCCTTTTAACAGGGAAAGACCTATGCTTGGCCGCTCCAAGCAAGGAAAAGCATTTTCTCGAGAAGCGACACCCTCAAATCTGATTCTTGAAATTGTGCCAAAGAGCCCGATTCTGAGTTTCAAGGGCCCTAGCACCTCCCAAGGCCGGACAGTGCAGAGATTGCGAGAATGAGGGATGAGTACCTGCAGAACGCCCCGGTCTATCCCTGCTTTCCGAAGAGTCGGCGGCTTACTTTGTCCAGCAATTTAGGGGCTGTCGGTTGAGGGTTTCGGAGTTCCTTTAGGAGGGAGAGGCTCTTGGGAGCTAACGCTGTTGAATGACTTGTCGGTTCAGCAGCTTTTGGTAGCTTCGGGGTGTGGGGGATGAGGAGGGCTTTTACAAACTAGGTGTGGGGTGGGGTGGGGTGGGTGAGTCCAGGGGCCGAGTTTCTTAATCCATAGCATGAACGGTACCACATCACCAGCAAGAATAACCGTAAGATTCGCAAGACTACCAAACGCAGCAAAGCAAAACAAAACAATAATCAACAAGAACACTCACGTCAAAAATCAGCCACCATGATCCCAAGTCAGAGATAGGCAGAGTGGCCCCCAGCTGCTTCTCTGGGAAGGATTCCAGCCCTTCCGTGTGGAGCTCTACTTCCTCCTGGAAGAGCCGAGTTCCAGTGTCTCGCCCGAGCAGCTTTAAGCCATGATAATCGTTCTGAAGGATGATTGGCAGAATGGTGCATTGCTGCTGCTGCTGCTGCTGCTGCTGCTGCTCCGACGACGACGACTAGCATTGCTGAAATCAGCATGCTCGCATTCTTGTTGAGCTTCTCTTGGCATTTTCGTCTTTTGCGTTTTCAGAGAAAGTAGCATGTACTTCCTGACGAAGTGGCGCCGAGGTTAAGCCTGTAGGCACTGTAGGCAAGACACGCGAAGCCACAGTTTCGAGGTTCGGTGTCTCTTGGTTCAGGGGTCTACGCTTTAGGGTATCAGGGTTTAGGATTTCGGATTCGTCTCGTGTTGGTATGGGGCTTTCAACAAGCGCCTCGCCTCACCCGCACCTGCAGAGAACCCCGCAGCCCGAAGCCAGACTCTGGCAGACTCAAATAACATGGGGCCCTCAATAATTACCAATACTACTTTGGGGTTCCTCGAGATGTGTTGCAGTAGAACCGTATTCTAACTATGAAGGCCCCTGGTCATACCCAGCAACCAGGTGCATCCGCCAGAGTCCTGTCCATCGTGATCTTTGCAGCTCAGAGTAGCAAAAAGCAAGGAAAGTGCTCTGAACTCAAACCCGGGGAGCCTCCGCATACGAGGCTTTGGAGAGACAAGGGCCATGCCTCAATCCTGGCCCTATGTCTCGGGTGTAGCTTTGGGGTGATGCTGTTGAGATTGTTGGGCTTTGCCAAAGATGTTGGACCAGTGTTGGAAACCGTCTGCACCGCAGACACAACCTTTGAGGAGGAGGAGATTGCGATAGACTTAAGCTCGTAGAAACAGGGGCAGAGGGAGTGCTGGCGGAGATTCCCTCGACACCAAAGACCACATCGTCAGCTTGCCTATGTCCCTTTCTGCAGCAGACGCCTAGGCACCCAATGTGTCAGATGTTCAAACGGGACCCTTCACAAATGGGACCCTGTATCTTGCTACGTCTCAGACTCTCGGACAAACAGTCCAGGGGCTTCCCCATTGAAGAAATTTGTTTCCAACTGCCCAGGCATGCATAGTCCTTTCCATCGCCCTCTTCATGCTGGAGACCATGCCAGAGCTGCAGGCAGTTCCAGAACCTCGGGGACGAAAGAGAGGGTCTGCAGGTGCAGCGGAAGTCAGCATGAGAGTTAGTGTGAGTAGAGATGACATGAGTGGTTCTTAACCTCAAGTGTTGAGCATTGTCTTCTAGCTGTTCAATCTGTTCTTCGGGTCTTGTCCTTCTTAGGACCATGTTCATTTTTTAGCCCCGCCAAAACAGAAAACTTTCGCGGTATTAACGTTATCCCGGTGGTAGCTCAAATGCAACATCCGCAGCTCTGGCAGCAGTGAGTCTCCTGGCCCCCCAGTCTAGTGCTCCCGAGCCAGTGCATCAGGCGTTGCTTCGTTCAGGGTATCTCGCTAGGCCCTGAACCCTAAAATTCCCAGCTGCTCCCCCTATGCATCCGAGGAAGAGTTTTGGACAAGACCTCAGTCGTCGCTGTGTCTTGTGCATGCGATCACCTCCCCTGCTGCCACCTCTGCTGAAACCCCATGAACCCACGATAACAAATCTGGCAGCCCTTTCCTTCTAAAGCCTTCGAGTCCTCAGCTTGACAGTCCTCCCAGGGTGGCTTCCGAATGCTTCTTCACCGTTGTGTTCCTCTTGGAGTATCTCGCAAGACTTCTCGCGCCCGTGATGAAGTTGGCTTTGCACCGTAAGTTTAGGACTCCAGGTTTGGCTGGTCGGCGTTTAGAGTGCACTGTGCTTTCGGGATTGATTCTCGGCCACGTAAGTCCTCAATGCTGCAGCCCCGGTGCGATGGACCAGCATGCGTTGGTGAGTTTTGTGTGTGTGTGTGTGTGTATATATATATATACATACATATCTACACACAGACACACACACACACACATACACATGATAGTATGATGTCTGGTCGACATTAGGTGTCTTGGATCTGCGGCTGCTTTCGGATGGACCGGTGTCAATCGCAGGGTGGGAGCAGCAGCATTGTAGAAACTAGCCATGGCCTTTCGATCCGCTGCAGTGCGACAAGCACGGACACACGGCGGGAACTGAGCAAATGAAGTACTGAGTACTGCCGTATGTATCGCAGCCACAGTCCCGAATGCTTTGTGGGTATCCTGCTGCGCAACAAGTCGCAGAACATGTCTGTAAGGCCTCGGACGAAACTGGCAAGAAGGGTGACCCAATTATGTCGAAACGGACCGACAACATTCCGCAAATCATTGGCGGCGGTCTTCCCCGCCAGACGCAGCCCTGTCACCCCGCTCCAAATCGCTAAAGACGCTTGCCGTCATATGTGTAGAGCCCCGTAAGTCACACTCATGGTCTTAACTTCGGAACAATGGAAAAGACGATTGCTTGAAGTAGGAATTGTGGACGACAGCGAAGGTGTGCTAAATTGCTAAACTCAGCCCCAACGACCCAGCACCTACACTGGACCTGCGCTCCGACCATCCCCCAAGTTTCACATCTGAGGTGTTTGACGTCACTGGAGTCCCCATTTTGACGTTCATACGGACTGGCCCATGCATGAGTGGGGGCTGCGAGGTTCAAGTTGAGCTTATCAGGCTGAGATGGGATCATACGTGCCAGTGGTTCAGTGATGCTGTTGGTTTGATGAAGATTTGCATTTCATGGGGCTCGATTGTTTTGCCCGACTGAACAAGTCTTAATATCCCGGAGATGGGTGTCATCAGGGTTTCGGCGTGGGTCTGTCATGAAGAGAAGATGCACTGTCCTGGCATACTGGATGTTCTCTGTCTGCACGTGTGTGTGTGTGTGTGACATGTGTGCGCTTTTTTTTTTATCGGGGGGGGGGGGGTTCTGGGCAAACCGGGACATGAACATGGTCACGGTTTGGGACCTTGATACTTGCGACGTCTCGGCCGCAGGAATCGAAGGTGATCGTTTCAAGCGCGAAACTCTGAAACCGGAAGCCATCCACCACCACGGATCCGAATTGGATCTTATGAGCCCTGGAAAGTTGAAGGACTCCTATGAACGTCGTCGACGTTGTGGCGGTGCTTCCCTTTTTTGTGATCGTGGTGCTGCAGTCGGGTCAAGCCATAGGCACCTGGCATATGCACAGCTGGGGAGTGGCGGTAGTGACAACCGCCAGCACAGCAGCAGAATGCATCTGACTTGCCGAGTTTTGGAAAGAGCACCCGAGTCACTACTTTCCGACCTTGAAACGCAGGCTTCATCCGGGCAGTGAGGCTTGTTCGCCTTTTCCGAATTTTCAAGCTCCTCGGATCCTTGGGGCCTGGGGCTTCGGGGGTGCAAGCTTGAAGGTTCTGGGAGTTTGGGAAGCCTAGAATCTAGGGCTATCCTGGGATTCTCGCCTGGCTTTTGGGGGGGCGTTTGGACTTGGTTCTGCCATATTTCCAAGACTTGGGCTCGAAGAGTTGGTGGTGGTGTAGAGTCTGTATGGCTCCTGTTAGCGCCGATAGTCGTGCCTGGTTTGCGAGCTCCACATGCTGTTCGAATCTGCTGTCCGTACCCCTGGAGATTAAATACTTTAGGTATTCAATGGGCAGTCGTTCGGAGCAGAGTGCTCGAGTTTCGGGTCTTGTGCCGTTCCGGTCGGCACGGCTTTGAAGCTTGGACCCTGCAGTGCTGCACATTTCAGGTTGGGAGGAGGTGCTGGGAACATTCAGAAGCCGTTCCCTCCCCCGAGGCTTGGGCGTTACTCCACCGGCCTGAAGATGATGATGGTCGCTCTAGGCACCTGATGGGCGGGTGGATGTTCGAACAATTCCCGTTTGGGTCCTGTAGCAAAGCCGGGTTGTTCTGTTCATTAAGGGCGGGTCAGCTACAGGAAAGGTTATCGTCGTTTCGTGAGAGTACAGGACGTCTATATTATTGCTTTTGCTATGCCTGCTGCTGAGGCTATCAAGATTGGGTTTGTGCAGTCCTGTCCGCCTGTCATCGTTTCCACCGCTGCTGCAGCTGCTGCCAATCTGTGTTATTACAGTGCGAAATTAACTCCACAATGGCATATGCTTTGACATCTGCATGAGCATCTATCTCTTTCACTCAAGTACAGGCCCAAGCAGGGATCGTGCATTGTGCAGGATAGAGCTTCGAATGGACAGTATGCATGCAGTCAGCTATTCGTGGGGTGGCATAGACACCCGAAGCATATATCCTACAACGCCTCTTTTATCGTTCTGCCGTCTTGTCATGCAACCAACTATAGCACACGAGTCTGTGCTTCTCTGCTTCATGACGAAGCGCACCCCAAACCCCCAAACTTGCGAAGTCACACCCCCCGTCGACGGCTCCCTTCTCTTGTTCCGAGCATCTCTGGCTCTATCCGACCTTGTGGACTTCAGGCAGGAACATTCGGCATTGGGCTTGCGACCCCCTGAACTCTAAACCCAGCTAGTAAAGCCTCAGGATTCAGGGATAAACAAAAGCCGCCTAAAATTCGGGGCCCGAGCCCGCTAAACTCCAGCGAAAGCAAGTCTGAGAGAGGCAACAGCGGTCAAGCGCTGAGCGTCTTGGTTTTTTTCCTGGGCATCGGCTGCGTTCTCTTCTCTAGCAGCCCAGCCGCAATGGCCGACACTGGGGGGTTCTTAGATAGGGGCTGGTTACCGCATAACCAGGGATCCGACTCTTTGCTTAGTTGCTGGAGTCGTTAACTTTGAAATGATACCTCCCCTACAGGCTGAAAGCTTAAACTTTACAGTTCCCCGTTACTTTTTGCTGAATCTCCCACACTCCGGAACCCGCAACTAAACCCTAAACCTCGAAGAAGTCATTGGCTTGTCCGAGTTGTGAGAGCGTAGAAGAGTATTTGACCATAGAACCTTACGACATGGCACGATTGCGTGCAAACGAAACTTACTTCAGAATGCTACTGTCAAGGCTTGGCAGTGAGCCTGCAGTCTTGACACTTCTTGTGGGGTGCGGTTGCTGAGCGCTTCTCAAAGAGTGCGCCTCCAGTTGGTTGCGCTCTCGCAGAGTGTTCCTTTTGCACTTCTGTGTTGCCGCAAGAGGCGTAGCAGTGAAATAGTACAACGGATGGCCTGTCGCTGGTTCAGGTGTGGTGTACCACGTGGAGAAGCTCTCCTGTCCAGTATCTCTGCTGAAACACGACTCCCTACATTCTGGCGACGTGTAGCTGTAAACCTCAAGTAACAGGCTGAGGGAGGGGTAAGTTATTGCTGCTGCAGTAGAATGACCTCATCGTCGAAGCCAGGTCATAAAGGGGTCCGAGTAACTCAGACCACCATATTGCGAAAAGTTGCCTTGCATGAATCGCCTATGTACAATCATGCATTATAGTCATCAAGTGCCGGCTTAAGAAACGCAAAACCTGCAACCCATGAACTCTCATCTGGTGAGTTTGGGTGTGAGAGTATGGAGAGTACGAAACCCTTAATCAAAAGACGCACCCTGTGCGAGTGTGCCTGTCGAAACCCCAAACCCTGAACTCCAAACCCTAGCATCTAAGCCTAAGCCCTAAACCAGTGAGATTTGGCTGGTGTTGTTCCAGAAAATCAGGGACACAGGGCTACACAAAGCGAGGGATGCAATGGCTCCGTATGTTGAGTGGGACGTGGACATCGATGAGGGTGGTGCGAAGGGAGATGCAGGGATTCCGGCTCCGACAAGGGGGCAGCATGAGCAGGCGAAGACTTGAAGCACACGGGGTTCAGGTAGTTCTTATGTCAAATGGGCGTCATGCAGAGGCCTTCCGCAAACGTGGATTCCGCTTAGCTGGATTGGCGAAGGGGAAAAAAGGTGCTCAAAAAAAATAAACCAGTGTCAAATCGGACCCTATACAGTCCAGAGCCCTAACATCGAAAGCCCGCCGAAGGACCGAGCGCGGTTCAACCAGACAGAGTTGGCGACCTACCTCCAGGCAGGTCCAGAACCGAGGAAAAAGGGCTCCTTTAAGGGTCCTCTGAATTTAAGGGATTTGTAAAAAGGGGGTTGGGGTTGCCCTTGCTTTTCTTCTGGTTCCGGCTGTGCAGTTTCGGGATTGGGGCGTCGAGGTCCAGGGTATAGAAAAGGGTCCCAGTTCTAGGGTTGTACAGTAGGGTAGGGTTGTAGGGTAGGGTAGAAGGTGTTTTGCTGTCTGGCGTAGAACCTCCCAGCTGCCAGGAGTGCCACGTGAGGCGGCTGTCGGAGTTGGGCTTATGCTGCAATGAGTTTGATGCTCCGGTGGATTTTCCGTCCATCTTGCAGCTAGGCTGCAGGACGGGCGCATGACAGGGTAATTATCACCCCGAAGCAGTGAACAGGAAGATTAGAGTTCACCCTAGCCATCCTCATTCTAATCCTCCTCGTCCGCCTCTTTGGTGTCATCATCGCCCTATCATCCCCGTTCCTCTATTCATCCCCATCGTCCCACCCATCTTGTCTGTTTTCAGTGGTCGTAAGATGTCAGAAGACTCCCGTGCCCTCATTGCAGCTTTTTGAGGTCCACCTTCTGGTGGCTGCCTGGCAGCAAGCGTACTTCCACGCTGTAGCGGCAAAGAGCCTTGTCTTCGAAAGCGGCAGGCAGACCCGAAATAGCCCGCGAGACAGGTCCATAGTCACGATGACGACGGTGGGCTATGGCGACACGGTCCCCCGGACGAATGCCGGCAAAGTTGCAGGCCAGGACCTTTGCTCCCGAGAGGGTTGGGCAGATTGAGGAGTGAAGCTTCTTTGGCTCGTTATTTACAGCCCTTCGGACATCCCTGTCCATTTTTTGAGCTTGCAGTGCGACCTAGTCAGCGAAGCGGGTGGGAAAAAAAGACCGGCTCAACCCCAAAGCCCCTTAAACCACCAACACCCCGAACCCAAGACCATTTTCCAAGGCGCCTTCACCATGTGCTCGGGTATTTTATTGCTGGCTTTGCCCATCGCCTTGATCGGCGCCCGATTCCAAGAGGCGTACAACATGGCGGTGTCCTCAAGGCCTAAGGGAGCCCATGTCTCGGGCAACTTCAGACAGGCAGTTTTCCAGGCCTTGGAATTCTGGGGTCTGTGGTTTAAGTCGACAGAGTGTAGTCTTTCCCTACAGCATACTCCAGAATCTTATTCTGGTGGTTATGTTTAGAAAGGGTTTGTGCGGCTTTACGTGTCTCGAAGTGTGCTGTACGGGGGGGAGTTGAGGGCGCCAGTGGGCGTTTGCACTAATCATGGACATGCTTGGAATGACTGGATGGCGCAGGCCGCTGCTTGCTTCGAACAGCGACTCTACCGTGTGTCAGTTGGTCTTAGTATGAGCAACAGCAGCAGCAGCATCAGCAGCAGTAGTTGCTGCTGGTCCTGCGGATGATGAGCTGACTGCCTCTCCATCTTCTTCCACATTGTCCATGGCCCCACCATCAGCCACAGCACCACTGTCACTGCCACCAACACCACTGCCAGCAGCATCATCATCTTCTTCTTGGCAATCGTCATGACCATTGTAATCGTCATCGTAACCATCACAACCATCAACAGCATTAGGAACACAATCACCGCATAACCTCACCAAAGAAAGGAGTCATCCTAGAGCACAGTAGGCAGAACAGCCCTTCGCCTTCTGGTCCGCTTGCTGCCTTTCTGAGTATCGAATACGCCTGGTGACCCCATCTTGAACAGAGATCCATCCCTGGCAGGGGAAGTCCATCTCTGCAGCTGCTTGGCGGATGATGAGTCTTTTTCTTGAGGTTCTATCGGTTCTACCTGCCATCTTCCCTGTCCCAACTCCCAGAGCCCGAAAAATCCCTAGACCCGAAGCTCCAATGCCCGAAGCCTTGATGAAACCAAGGGTGCGCCGGAAAGCCAAAGCCGCCGCCTCGGACGAAGGGCCCTCCAATTTTTTTTGGGGGGCGCAGTCCACCGTAGTAGAGTCTGATATCATATAGTATAGTTACTACGTGTATCGGATAGTATATATGGTATAGCATCGAGTAGTCATAGTCCAGACATGCCCAGAGCCACAGGAAAGCTCGGCAACATGCACATGCAATAGGTTGGAATGTGCTAGAAAGAGTCTCGTGGCCCGTGGCAAAATCATCACCGATGGCCAAGGAGCGGGAAGACCCTCCCACGAAGACTATCAGCACGCGCTTGTGGCTTGCCTGACGAGTAGCTGATGCTCCAGTGTTTCGGGCTGAAGGCTTGATACCCTGTTTGGATGTTATGGCACATGAATGCACAAGATCAGCACGACCGAGTACACGTGGCTTGACAAGCTATGTTGTCGCCGTGTATGATACACAGCCGGAACAAAACTGAATGTGCAGCTGCTTTTCCCTTACAACTGCACCGTATCAGCGTGGATCGAAGCAAGTCGCAAAGCCACTGCAGTCCTTCTGCAAACCAGGATCCCAGGAAGCCCCAGTAGTCATTTGGGCTATTTTGGGCTCAAGCTATTTTGTTGCTTACCCGGGCGGCATCGCAACATGACAGAGACCATGGATGAATTTCCATCCAGGGAAGCCGCAGAAGCGTCGGGGGTTCCGATTCCACAGCTATGGCTTTGCACTCATCAAGAACAACACCTCTCACAAGTTGAAGACCTACAGCTATGATGGCGCTGACGCTGTCGCTTGGATGGGTGAAGGGATGTTGGAGATTGTGGTAGATGAGGCGAAGGTAGTCCACGCCCGTGTTGATAGGAACAACAACGCTTACGTCAATATCTACAAGCTCTTCTGCCGCATTCCTCGCGGGCGCATACTTGCGTGCAACTTGTGACGAGTTGAGACTTTATTGCTGGCAGGTGGCAGACGGGCAGGCTGGTCAGAAAGTGCTGGCGAAGCACGCGGCGGATTGTGACTACAAAGCGTTGAAGGGCATGGCTCGCTATCTGAGCCTACCTCCAGGTGGCAAACCATGTGCCGCAAAATTCCCAGGCAGCGCCCAAGCACACAATCACGCTGTCGAATCCCAATGAAAGTCAGTGGGACGGTGGGAGGTTGCCGCCAAGTAGCCGTCACAAAGCATTGACAACGAGATTGACTTGCCAGGAAACGCAAAGCAGGTTGCAACCAATGACAGGAAAGCAAGGAGTACGCCTGTGTGGATGGCAGTGGCCAAACAGTCATGGGCAGGTTTCCAGATCTTGATGGACCAGAGTTGCTGAGATATAGGGTGTAGGCTCTATTGCTGTAGATCGATCCCACGGCCCACGGCCTCGCGACAGTCACAAGAGCTTCCGATGAAATTCGGACTAGTTTCGTGCGCCCTCTTGTTGGTGTACACCATTGGCAGTATCCTCCAGTATCGCAATGCGGACATTGTCGCAAATGGAGCTGAGCAGAACCTTGATGGGCAACAGCGCGACTCACCACCCCATCCTCGCGCCAATGATCGTAATCCACATTGTGGTGTCCGTGGCAATGACTCTGTTATTGGTAGCCCGAATTATGAGATCACCATTCCAAAGCAAGGAGGCCCACAAAGGTGTGGGCATGGTGTGCCTTGCCGACGCTGTCCCAATGGAGGTGCTGTCGGGATTCATACTGATGTTTTGCAGGATTCGGAGGCAGCCTTCCTTGAAAGGCCATCAGGACATCAACATGGAGGAATAATTCATTTTCTTTGCTGTTCAGCGTCGCCGCGGTGCTCAATGCCATGCTATGCATCACTTCGCATCAAACCCTCGTGGCGAAAGTGCACATCGCTGATGATCGTGGTGCATGTCCTTGGTTAGCTGTATTCGGTGTGATGGCTCGCCTTTTGGTTGGCGATATGCAAGGAGCTGAAAAGAAGTGCAGATACGATGGCGGTGAATTCCCAAGCTCAAGGAGGGAAGTCCGGTGGCAGGAACTTCCTCGCCATTTTCAATGCTGTTACGCAGCTTGGTGAGTTCATCCCTCGTTTGGTGTCCGGAGCTCGACAACTGGGAATTTCTGATTAGCCTTGTGCGCACTGTGTTTGTCATCATTCTCCTCCTTCTAAAGTCCAGGGTTGATTCAAACCCCATGGTGGAAGGCCTTCCATGCCTGTCTTCATGGTCATCCTGCACGTGAAGAACATAATCATGCTTGTTGCGGAAGTGTGCAGGGACTCCAAGAACCCGAAGAAGTGGGCGATCCTTCTTGCGGACGGGGTCGGATTTATTTGCGATGTTGCTTTGAGCTTCACTCAGCACCCAAAACCCTTCGTCTGTGCGTGAAGGGGCCCTTGCAGTCAGCATGTTTGATGGTCCGCCCGGGACACGTGACATAACCACGGTCTTCATCACGAATCGCTTTGAGAAGCCTCTCCAAGTGGAGTCTACGACGGCACGGACATGGTGAATTGGTGTGCGAAAAAGATTATGCTCTTAAACCCTGGCGCCTCCACACAATTCTTACGGCTCGAGCGTTCGTCTCACCACCAGAGGGCAGCCTCAAGCAGGTCTTTGTGCTATATTGGCTTGAAGGTATAAAAGCTTGGAGCAGACATGGTCCATGGCCGTTCTGCTTACGCCATTAAAAGCGGAACGCCTGTCCTCGAAGCTGTTTGTGACTAAAGGCTTTGAGGATGAACCTGGGCCTTCTGTGCTCATGGCCAATGAGAGGGCCATGTTGGCGATCAGCATTTGCGGAGCATGAGGCTTCCTGTTGATGCTGGTCGCCTCCTTTTTTATGGCTCGGGCAGGGTAGTGGGCTTGTCGAGTTTGGAAGCCCCACTTAGACTTTGGGGTCCTTGCAGCTTTCACGCGTTCACTAGGCTTTCAAGAGAATCGTTCAGCACGTGGACATGCTAAGAGGTAAGCTCAAAGTTGTTGGTCGGGGACCCCGGTCGAAGTGGATGATGCTCTCCTGCGTGTTACCGAGACTGTACATATATTTCCTCGGGGCCACAGGCTCCCTTTTCTTGGAGGGAAGCCTTGTAGCCTGAGAGGCTGAAGAAGGCCTGCTGCCTGGGAGCGTACTTCTGCAGCAATGAAACTGGTAGCTGGCTTTCGGCGGATGCATCCTAGAGAAGTGAAGTCAGGTCGAGCCCTTGTTCGCACTTACGTTGGATACTTTTCTCTTATATTGTTCGGATGGTGGTATGGGCTTGGCTCGTTGGAGCGCAGTGTTTCAAACAGTTGCCGGCGCAGTGCGGGTTGAGTATGCGCATCAATTGCTCGCGAAGGGTATTGGTGGTCGTGTGCTTTCGCACGCATAGGGGTAAGTTATTGTTCATGTTTGGGGATGTGTGTGTGTGTGTGCATATGTATGCTTGCCTCGTGTGAAAGTGTGACAGAGACAGACTTAGAGTCCTCCCAGAAAGGCGCCTGTTGCGCTTCTCGAACGCCTCCATGACTCGGCTGGCGCGGGAGCTGGCGAAGGCTGCTTCCGATTCTTTGTATGGTGATTGACTGGTGAAGCGCCTTCACCCACACAGACACACTTTGGGCTGTATATCGTATCAGGGAGAACCCCCCCGAGACCTGACCCTGCACTGCCTCATTTTCTCCCTGGCGGAGTTGTGAGATGAGCAGGAGCTGGATGAAGCGGCCACCATGCGGGATGATATCCGCATGCACCTTTCCTTCAACATCTTCTTTCGGGATCTCGGAACTAGTGCGACGGTGCTGGTGGTGTTGCAGGATCTTCTGGTTGAGCGACGCTTCGAAGGCCTTGCAGCGTTAGGGTTTGCATCGCCACACCACAAGTAAAATCATCGGGGGTGTCTTCTTGCAGACTCAACAAGCCTGTCAAGATCTCAAAAAAGCCTTTCTGATGAGTCTTTTGGGAGCTTCTTGGAGATCTCCGATTCTCAGCTGCATTGACCCTTGCCCTGGCCTGGACACGAAACCACGCTCAGAACCCTCCGAAGTCCCAACAGCGAAAGGCACCGGCCCCGCCTCTTCAACCTTTCTTTCGTAGCGCCGAGGGTTCAAAAAAGTGCTTCGAGCTGAGGTTTGAGAAGGCCGAGAAGCAATCACAGAGGCAGGTCCTCAGCTGCGGCATCACCGTGGTGCAGCGCCGGGGCCCCGGTTTCTCTGGGACTCTTGCTAAAATATGGCGCTTATAGATTATGGTGCTTATTCTTGCTGTTGAGGTTTGAGGGCGTTTTAACATGGGGAAACCACGAATAAAGGGGTTTAGGACATCACCCCTTGTACACTGCACAGGCCATAGTCTTGAGAACCCAGAATGCAGCTTGAGTCCGTCTTGAGGAACCCGCGGCTGCATTTCGCATGTTGGATTCCCAAAGCCCGGTACAAGGCGCAGGCGGCTAGGCAGAAACAGACGCGGAGGGTGGAACTGGCAGACAGGGATGAGGGTGAAACCCATGAGGCCTCCAGCACTACTCGGATCAAGCTTTGGCCGTCCGACGCGAAAAGTCTGAGAGGGATGCCTGCCGCGGCCCGAGTCAGATTTTCTCACATGTAAGGTGTGTGTGTGTGTGTTTTCTTCAGACTAGCCAGATCAGTCTTTGGGGTGCCGTAGCCGGGGGAAGAGATCATTGAATGTCGGCAGTGGTCCAGGTTTGCGGCTAAAGCGAGGTCTTCTGCAAGGTCTATGCTGGGCAGCTTTCACACGACGAGTGCTTTACTAGGAACCCAGGTCTTCTTTCACCATAGCCAGAAGCTCGTCAAACAAATTTAGCCGAAGGGCCGAAGGAGCCGACCTTTCGAAGGTGCCTGAAACCAGAAAGCCGAGAGAGATCCAATGGGGTGTGAGGCTGTTCATGTACCTGCCTGAGAGGGTTCCTTAATCTGAAATTCGTCGTGGCGCCTTGACTTTGGGCTTCGTGCAACCACTTGGTTTCTAGAGAATGGAAGGTTCTTGACTAGCTCTCAACCAGAGATATGCGCCGGAGACCTCCAAGAGCCCTGGGCGCCTCGCCAAGAGAGCCCGAGTGGGAGTGTCAATACCCTCCGCAACACTTATAAGAGTGTGTGCTGAAGCAGGAAACCGTCATCTTACATGCCACTCAACATCCGGACTGCACCGGAGAACCCCCTGCGAAGCTTATAACTTACAGGATTCCGGGGTGGTCGGGGTGTTGAGGTAGACTTACTGTAGTAGCTGTAGTAACGCGCCATTGCTAAACTCAGAGCCTAAATGACCGAAAAGTCGAACTGGCTCCGCTGTTGCTTCAGACAGCTGGGGAGGCTTGGAACCTGAATTGAGGTCCAACAGGCCCTATACCCTAAACCCTAAGCCTGTTCGGTTCAATCCCTAAACCCTAAAAGCTTGCGCACCCCATCATGGCGACATCCAATTTGCCGGGCCGAATCAGCATCACCGTGAGCGCGGCGTCGGGTGCGAGCTGCACCATTGCAGCCTTGGCGTCGGGGCGTGTGGACCAACTGCACGGGGCCATCGAGCGGGTCTTAAGGATCCCGACCTGCGTGCAGAATCTGATCATTGCTTGCGAGGGCGGCTCACGGGAGATAAAGAGCCACGAGCTCCTGTCCAGCCTTCCCTTACAAAGCTGCCAGAATCACTTCACCGTCTTCAACAGCTGGCCGAAGGATCCCGAAGAAACCGTCGAGAAGCTGAAGGCGGCCTCTCGCTCCCCCACGCCGCTAACTGCAGCAGCTGTCGCACGGTGCTTGAGCTTTGAAGACGGCTATGTGCAAGCTGCCGCCATTCAGGCACTCTCATGGATGGGAAAGGCGGCCAAGCAGCATGCGCCTAAAATTGCCGAGAAGGTGCGGCTGGAGCTGCCGAAGAGGTACCAGCATGGTTTACGCTTGCCAACCGCGGAGGGCAGACAACAGAGGGCAGTGGCGATGACCGCCGCAGTCGCTTTGTCCTGGTTAGAGGAGGCCGGAGCCGCCTACGCCTCTGATATCCTCCTCTACAGATGGTGGAATTTTTCCGACAAGGCCAGGGGCGCTTTTGAGGAGATGTGCCAGTCGGAGTCATCCGCAACACGACTTGCTGCAATGAAGTCGCTTACTGCCCTCTTGGAGAAAGATGGGTTTGGTCCTGTGGTGCGCTTTGAGTACGAACGTCGCCAAATTGCCCTACGATACATCTGCCATGCGGTGTTCGATGAAAGTACCGAGGTTCACCAAGTGGCAGGGGCATGCTTGATGCGATTCGTTCCGTCCTTTTCTGGTGAAGCCGATATCTTCGCGCTGGGGCAGACCATTTTAGACCAGCTCCTGCAATTCGGAGAGTACGGAGAAGATTTCCGTGGCGAGTCCTTTCCCGAGACCGTTTCGACCTTTTGCCGGGCTCTCGCCGCGAAGTTGGATGGGTACTGGCCGCAGTTCGTAGGCTGGCAGGAGGGCATCGACGACCAGGACTCCGAAGCGGCCACCCAGGTGGCCACGGCTGCAGTTCGCTACCTCCGACGCCGATTTCAGCAATGGCTGGCCGACAGCCAAGCCCCTTTTGGTGCGATTGAGTCAGCAGGTATGGATCTCATCGAAGACTTCGAGCTTGGCCTCGCCAGCCCTCGATGGCAGGTGCGCAGGGCGGTCGTGGAGAGTCTCATTGCGATTGCTCCATGGGGTGCTCATGGTGTGGATGGCGTGCACCTGATGCAAATTAGAGAGAAGCAAAAAGAGGTTTTAGAAGTGATGGCAAGCTTCCTGGACAAGTACAAGGCGTATGTGGACGACTCCTCTTCAGTGCGCCAGTGCTTCCAATCCATCGGCTTCTACTGCCCAGACGATGTCTGCTACGAAGACTACTTGGAAGAACGCAGAAAGGAGTGGACGGCGCAATGGGAAGACTCCCTGATGCGTGACAAGCATGGTGGATATCTTAAGTCGCATGCCACCCGCCGGGCACGTCACAACAAGCAGCATGGCGCCAATGCATCGGAGGGACCGTCTACAATCGCAAGGAAGAAGAAATGGGAAAGGCGATCGAAGCCAGCAGAGGTGCAAGACTACGCGGAAATCAAGAGGATCAGCCAGCGAGACATGAAGCAGGATCGCCAGCTCAAGGCCGCGATCCTCGGACGCGAGCTCTTCAGCTTTTCCCTGGGCCTCGAATGCGAGAGCTCGTCGGGTCTCTGACACAGGGCTTTTAGGGTTTTAGGGGTTTTAGGGTTTTGAGCGACTGGGCTCTTCATTGAAATCGTCTTGATGTGAGAGACCCAGTCCCTGCCACTGACGTGCATCTCACAGCTCTGAGATACGTGGTGAAGGGGTGAGCCTGTGAGCCTTGTTAGTGACCCGCCCGAGTAGTTGTGAGCTCAATGAAGTTGACCCGACATCGCTTATGAACGTAGGACCACCCAACTCGGTGGCATAGTTCGAGCTTGCACTGTTCCTCTCCGAGATGGTTTGTTGCTGGTACTTGCAGCCCACTGTTTGTTTGTCGTGGTATGCATCGGAAAAGAGCTTCCTACCATGTAAACCGACTGCAGTAGTTTCAGTGCGCGTCCCCGCGTGGGCATTTCGACGGTAAGGGTCTTAGATGTGCTGGGTTTTGTGTATCGGGCTTCTTCACGGTTTGGGGATGCGCATTCCTGTTTCACGCCGACTTCGCACCATTAACCTCGCCTGGCATGTCCGAGTTGTGAGAGCCTAAACCTGTTCCTCAAAACCCTTTAGCCAGATGCCAGGCCCAAGCCCTCCGGAGGTGAGTGAGCAGGGCGCCCAGGGCATCTTTCATTCCCTCTTAAAGGTACGGGCTTTTTTTTATGGTTTGGTGTTGGGGGTTTGGGGTTCAGATTTCTTTTCCCAAACAAATGGCGAAAATTTCAGGCCACTGCCAACAATAGCATCGCCACGATTCTTTGCCTCCTCGTCGTCGTGGTCATCTTCACCATCATGATCATGTTCGCCGTCAGCGGTTTAGCCATAGCAGCATGGTTTGCCACCTTTCGCATCTTATCGAATCTACTCCTCTATTGAGACCGAAAAGGGCTGTGCAATGTTGTGTAGGTCAAAAACAGCCGCTCATTCAGGACCCCAGAAGACCAAGAACATCTTAAGCCTTTCAGGTCCTTACCCGTCACCCCACGCGGTGAAGACGCCCGGCTCGTCCCAGTCGGGCCCCCGAGTGTTTTTTTCGCTCGAGGGGCCTCGGATGCAGAGTCGAAGCGAACTACGGGAAGAGTAGAGGATTAAAGCCTCGGAGACCCATCACTACGTTTCTGGAGTTCGCAAGTTCCTCAAGGGGTCTTTATCCATGTCCACAGGAGGAGTTTTCTGAGAAAGGGCTTTCCGGCCTTCCCTTGGAAGAGCCCCCGCATATTTGGAGCCTCCGATTGCTCCCCAGGCTGGCACCCGGGACATGTTCCAGAAGTCCGTGACGTTCGAGGTCTCTCCTTCGCAGGTTCGGAAGTGCCGCCTTCCCACAACACACGATACAAGAAACCCCAAGCTCCCGAGCCCTCCAAGAAGCTCTTCTGTCTGATCCGCTGTGGGCTCTGCTTGCATCATCGTGTTCTCCGAAGTGCAAAGCTTACAAATGTGGCTGATTGTGCTTACTACTCATCACACTTCTCATCAGGAAGAAAGATAGGCAAGCAAACCATCATCGTATCATTAGCAGCAAGTATCAAACAGATTTCTATTGTTGCTATCCTTTGTTTAGTGCGGGGAGTGGGGGACAAACGCCTGGGCGCAGGGGAGCTGATCTTCGCTCCGGGGAGTGCCTCAGAAGGCAGGAAGCATTTGGAGGGTTCACGGGTTGAGGGCCCTATAATAGGGGTTTATGATTGAGGGGATGAGAAGGGGTTAAGGCTATGCGGTTTACGGGTTTAAGGCTTTAGGAAAAGTCGCAGGCAGGCCAGCTGCAAAAGGAAAAGGGGTTCGAGATTCAGGGGTTGACAGTCTCTGGCGATTGCACAGGTCCACATGCAGAAAAGGAAGGGGCTCCAGGCTTTGTGAAAGATGGGTTTTGAGGGTGCTTTTTGGATCTTCGGGTGCGAGGGTTGAGCTTGGCAGGGGCTTGGCCCGCCTTAGGGCTTCAGGCAGGTTTTGGGAGAAGGTCTCAGGACAAGTGGCCAGAATTTCCATGTTCGGAGGATGAGTTAGTTCTAGGGTTCTATACACTTTGACTGACTATTAGTTTTGGAGTATCATGCCGCAGCAGTCCCTTTCTGGCCCGCTCGGAGTTGGAATGAAAGGGCTGTCACATCTGCACGGCCCCTAGCTCTTCGCTCAAGAACCATAATCGCCCCAGCCCCAAGCTTAAGGTGTCCCCGGCCGCCACCCTGCTCCCAACCCCTCTCTCTTGGCGAAGCCTGAAGGCGTCTCTGATGACAGAAGGCCTGATGTCAGCTTTTGCCTCCTGGTGGGTTCAAGGCTCTGGTAGGGCTGCCCGTGGTTCGTTTCTTGAGGGCTTGTGTCGTCCTCGGCTATCCGGCCTCCCAGGTGCAATCCGCGAATGCGGATTGCAGACGCAACGGTACATCCCACCCCAGAGCCCACACCCTGTGGCCAAACACCTGTCCTCAGAAGCAAGGCTAGTACCAATCGAGCATGCTTTCCAGACATAACATGTTCCGATGGGCAGTAGGAGACGGCCAAGTGCATTCGATGACCTGGCAGCTAAGAGAGCTGACAGCCAACTTCAGTTTTAGTCCGCAAACGTGGAGAAAGCAGCAAGCCTTGTGCAGTGCCACAGCTGGTAAACGGCATGTCCGATAAATCTTATCGAAGTCGCATGGGCTGGTATTAGATTGTTGTAGTTTTTTCCCAGGTTTCACGGCAACCAGCATCATGGCATGATTGCTTCAGCATGGTTTCTCTCACTCGTCCTTGTGGCGGTTAGGCCCAAAGCCATGTTGGCCTGTGCATTGCACTGACAACAGTGCGCAGACACACGTGCACCTGTTTCACAGAAACTAGGGGTTGCCCACACGGAATGATCCACAAGACCAGGCATCGCAAGCACTGGTGCAATCAGCAACGATACTTGACACGGTCATGTGGGTCCGGACGGCATTATGATCCCCGAGCAGGCACTTGACTCAAGGTTCAGCAGCGCAGCATGGCCGACCTTGGGAAAGAGCAGGAGGAGGTCTTCGAGGAGGATGTTTGGGAGGATGACTATTTTGATGAGGGCGCGATGGATGAGTTGGAGGAGGCAGAGCTCGAAGAGCTCGAGGAGCTGGAGGCCAAGCAGGTGGCCTGGCGTCAGCAGATGGCCTCTGCCATGGAAAGCGGGGATCCCGTGAACGGTCTCCCCCAGGGCCTCCGGATGCGCGTCGGTGAGACGGAGACGCCGGAGACCCGTGACGAGGAGGCGGTGTCGCCAAAAGCCAAGCTGGCGCCGCTGCCCGTGGCGGCCACACGTTGGGAATTCTGGCTCCTAGCGCTCGTTTGCTTGGTCAGCCTCTGCACGACGCTGCACTTCGCTTGGAATCACCTTCTGCCACCAGCTACGGCGACCGATGGGCAAGGAGCAGTTGCTGCTGCATCCACGTGCCGGCAGTGTAAGGCCGAGTGGTGGCAGGATTTCTGGCAATGGCGACTAAAGGAGCTCCAGGGTCAGCCCTCAGATCCGCCTCCAGGTATGCAGTGGGAGTGGGGGAGCTCCGTAAACAATACTGATTGGTACGAATCCAGCGCGGAGTTTGTAGATGAGTTGGTCCGACCCTACGCCGACCCTGGGCTCGGTCCCGTCCTTCACCTGGGCTGTGGAGATGCGCCTGTCCCAGAGCTGCTGCTGCGGGCCGGCTTTGCCGCATCCACGCACATCGACGTCGCGTCCCAGGTGATCGAGGTCATGAGAAGTCGGTATCCGGCCAAAGACTGGCCAGGCGCCACGTCCGCAGCAGAAGCCGGGAAGGCCAAGCGCCCTTGAAGCCCGAAGCCTCCCCACGAACGACAGCGAGTGCAATAATCAGCCGAGTAGCTGACCCCACGGACATGCCTCGCTTGGAGTGTCCCTCTGTGATTGCCGAAGCCCAAAGCCCAAGCCATTTCGAGCCAAAAAGCTTGAGGCTTGGACTTTCAATTGCGGGACTTCCTGAAGAGCGGGCCGCCGGCTGATGCCAGAATTTTGCCGGCCTCAAAAAATCAAGTCTTGAGGTTTAGGGTTCAACATGGAGGCACTTCAGAGAAGGGTAAGTTTGGCTGGATGGGCTCTGTTTGGGATGCAGGTTTTGGATGGGCTTGGCGGGGCTTTCGTTAGTTTCAAGTTAATCGCTAGTTATTTCATTGTTGTAGGTGAATGGATTCTTCGTCGTCCGATCCACCAAGGATACTGCGCAGTTCTGGACAAGGCCGGTCTGTTTAGCAGTTTAGCCAACGTTTTCATTTTGTGCTGAATCGCAGGGAAAGTCCGAAAGTCCGGAACTGTCATGGTTTCGTGTTTGACGAGGCTGGAATCTGGGACTGGCTGCAGGAGGAGGCGCCGCAGATGCTGCCGCATCTGCTTCATTTGGTTCGGCAGGCGCTGGTCCCATCCCCCGCCGATGCTTGCAGAATACAAACGAGCAGCGCTAGCTGAGAATGTGCATTGTGTGCAGAAAGCACAAGGCGTCAAGGCTGGTGCTCATGGTCGTGAATAGGTGGTGGTGGTGGTGGTGGTGGTGGTGGTTGGTGGTGGTGGTGGTTGGTGGTGGTGGTGGTGGTGGTGGTGGTGGTGGTGGTTGGTGGTGGTGGTGGTGGTGATGGTAGTGGTGTTGGTGGCCATGGCGCCCGTGGTAGTCTGGGTTTGCGCTTTAGCTGGTACTGGTAGCTTGCTTTGCTGGATTTCCAGCTCTAATAGAGTGGCTTCACAGGGATGTGGTCCTGATTGTCATGATGGCCCAATGCTGTGCGCCTGCATTGGGGTAGATGTCGAGAGTACCTTCCCCTGGATGCATAGGTGGAGTTGCATATGAGCGAATGGTCTTGAGTCAGCGACCGTTGGGGACTGTCAGACCCACGCGTGCATAAACATGCCACAGTTCAGAGAACAGGCGAACCGACACAACGTTACCACAACGGACTGACGTGGGGCTTCGAGGGGTTTACGCCGGCAAACGCCAAACAGGTCTTGAAGTGGCGGTTTTGCTGGTGTTCTTTGCCTGTCAAGCTGTGAGCAGTCTAAGGAGAGTGTGTACGTCATTGCCACAAAGCAGACGCCGGCGGAGCTGGCTGAGACATTGGCCATTGTGCACAACAGGGAGGCTCTTGATTTCCACGTGCCCTGGCTCACCTTAGCACAGCTACAACAAGTTCTGCAACGACTGCTACGATTACTTCTTCT